TGCAGCTTGTTTCTGACCTCCTTAATCTTTCTGGTTTGGTGTCTTGTCTGAATTTGGCTGTATTAGAAATCATACAACACAGGATTACACGAACAGAGAGATACAGAGCAGAGAGATGCGTGCTCTTTGTTCCTTACTTTAACACCACTAAGTCTAATAGGACTTGGAAAGACAAAATGAATACGAATTGCAGTTAGCCGGAAGAATCGTAACCAGCGTTTTCCTTCATCTTTGTGAAAGCAGCAGTGCTACAGGTCTCATGAAGGTGCTTTGCTGAGAAACAAGCAATCTGTTGATCTAATAAAATGGATCATTGCATGTCAGAAGCTGCAGACTTCATTTCCATAAACTTGTTGTGTGGCCTACCCATACTTGTTTGCCACTTAGGAATGCTACTGAATTTCAGTAATTGCTCATGAAATGCAACTAAACATTCTAAATACATCCAAACCAAATAAAACTGGTTTACGATTTATACACTTCCATTCTGTGCCATTTTTTCATCTTTCTGTACTACATTTCTGTGCTAGTCGAGTCATGTGTTTCCTGAAAATCATCACACTTTATAACTCCTGCTTCTTCTGTGTATAATTACAAAAGAATTTGAAGACAAGTTTGCAAACCTACAAACCTTCTTTTGAGTCCCAAAACTTTTTCTCTTTCTCCAACTGTATTGTTGTATTGTAAGAAAAGAATTAATCCCTATCTGCAAACTTTGTCATTTCAAGAATTCTAAGCCATTTTAAGTATGTACTTATGTGCTAAACTTTTAACATACAGTTTTTTACTAGAAGGCTTTTAGGAACTGTCAAGTGAAAAGCAGAACAGTTAGCTAATCCCTCTGAACTGTTAATGAATTAAACTTCAAGGACCTTTTTCTCCCACATTAAGCATCATTCAAAAGTATATATAAAAAATGAGTTCCTCACTGTTTAATGCCTATAAACTGTGTAAGATTAATGATAATTTACAAAAATTGCATTGCCAGAAGATGGCACCTGCTATACGTATTTGATGCTGCTGAAACTAAGATGTGCAGGCTGATCTAGAGCAGAGTGTTTCTGATAAACTGGTTTTGCCCACTCTGTGTTCCAGGGTCTAGAGACTGGAGCATATATTTGTTATATAATGACACTCAGTGACTTCATTAAAAGCAGAATTTAGACTCAATTTCACAATAGCACAAAAAAATCACTGTTTACTGCACCATGTGTATATTAAAGAACTATCATTTCGTCTAACCCATGTTTATTTAGAATTGCCATGGCCCCACTTAAACTTTTACATTTGCAGCCTCTTGGAATGTGTGTTTGCTTTCAACACTGAAAAATTTCCACAGGAAAGTATTTAAAACTGAAACTCGGAACTCTTAACTATTAGGATTTTGCCTCTTTCTTTTTTGTTCTCTTTCTGCACATTCTAAAAGACAGAGATCTCTAGTTTTTCCCTTCTCTATAGCATTTTGAAGCATTTTTTGATCCATAGCAATCAGAATGACAAAAAACCTGGGCACTATGGGTTTTCTCTCAATCACATTAAAGGAAAAAGTGGAAAGTTCTTTAGAATGATCCTTCTATTGGTACCTCATGTCCATAGATCAGATTCAATTATCCCTGCAGGCTGGTAGTGATCACTGAAATTTGTAAAACACATTTCCATTTGGTACCCATTTTTTACAATGCTTAGGGTGTCCTTAAACTTTGGGACTGAAGCTTTCATTGTAAAGTAGGGTGAACTGCCTGTGGTTAGAGACTTCTGGGTTAGAAGTGGGGCAGAGTTTTCAGGATGTCAGCATCTGTGAAATTGGAAGTGCAGCTACAAGAATTAAGGGTGTCCCTGTCTGCTTGCATTTGTCCTGCATACTGGTAAGAGCTTTCAGTAAAAGAGAGGGCCATGGGCAGGTTAGGAGGCTTTGGAAAATATGATTCTTGCTAAGTGCTGACGGGGGGGAAAAAGGAACCGTAAGTTAGACCTTTGAGGATACCTTCAGATCTGTGAGGTTTTTCTTGCAGTGATCCAAATGCTTGAATGACTAAGTCTGTTATTTACTTTCTGGGAATAGACACTGTGCACCCATAATGTTTTCTAATCTGATCTTTTCTAAATATAAGCGTTTCATACGTTGTTGTATTTGGAGCAAAGATAACGAAGTCCTGGTGAGGAGCAAGAAAGGTCTTAGGGACCTGTTTGGATTTAAATCGTGTGTGTTTGGCATGATTTAAATGACATGCTGTAATGTGTAAGGTCTGGAAGGACTTGTTAAACCAAAGGTTCTGGAATACAGGCAAGGCAAACCATCTTTGCCAGCTGCAAATTCTTTAAAATGAGAGGAAGCAACAGGAAATGCTTCTTCACTGTTTCCTTCTGTTGCCCTCCAAAATAGTAACTCCATCTTCCCGCTTCCAAACTGTTGCCCTCCCAGCTGGAGGGTAGATTTTGCTCTTTAAACTACTGCTCCCTCCAGGACTCTGAAATCTCTTGCTGTATTTTTGATTTCTGTCTACACTGTAAGAATTGACGTGATGTCTTAGATTTGCTGCCTTTTTGCACTACTGTTTTAAGTTTTCATAGGTTCAGAATTAGTATCTCGTGTTATTTTTATTCAAATAGTAATTCATCCATTTTAAGTCACTACTTCTGAATGATGGCTTTTTTTTTCACCATATTAAGACAATGACTTCAATGTAAAAAACCTTTTTTAATGCAACGAAAATCTATGAACTAGCAATAAAAAGAGTTTTCCTTAAAATCCATGTAGATTAAAAGACTAAAACATTCAAATTTGTTGACAAGGCAATCTTCCTAGGGAGAAAACAACAAGGTAAACAGATGTTCTCAAGGTAAATTGATGTTCTCAGCAGCACACAAATATGAGAAAATACTGCAGATTTACTTTTGACAATGTACTGAAAATAAATTAGCTCAGAATGTCAAATGATGAACATACTTCTGACAACACTGAATCATTTTTAAGCACTTCACAAAAACATGTGATAGGTTTAGACACAGGATAAGAAGAGTATAGAACATTAATCAGTGCAGTTTAACAGTTAGGAAGGACTCACGTGTAATTCCTACCTGACACTGACCAAGATCGCACAGCCAATTAGCAATAAGGCCAGAACAATTGTTCAGCTATTTTGATTTCCTGTCCTCCAAGTTATTTGTTAAATCACAGTTACGTCTCAGACTAATGGCATTTTGTTTGACTCTTCCATTTACATGGCTTCAAGCATCTTTTTACAGTATCTATAGATAGTACCTGTCAGTTACTTCCACTTTGCCCATGGGGCAATTGAAGAGATTTATCTCAAGCAATGTAACTGCTCATGAACAGTTTTCAGTCACAAACACTGAATCGCAACTTCCAGTCAACTACCTGGTGCAGATTAAATGATCGTTGATACGAGTAGGAATTTTGACACAAACCTGCAATCTTTTATTATGGCAACAATTCTAAATATTGGATCAAATTAATTTACCCTCTCTAGTTACAGATGTGCATTCAGGTACTCCTTTGGATTCGAGGCTCCACCTCCCTAAGAAAAGCAGTTCCTGTATTCCTGATATAAAGAAATATTTAATTACTCACTTCATTTTGAGTGCTAATCAGGATATTTACGTGTTAATTGATTATTAAAACTATAACTCCATCTTTATTTTCATTGTAATTGAGGGTTTCATTCTACACCAAATAGACATTCAATCTGCATATTCATAAAACTCAGTGGGTGCGCTTTTAAAAGTCAACCAAATTTAACAAAATGTAATGAAAACTAGCTTATTAAATACAAATTAAAGCTGGAGACACATGAACAGAATTGTCACCCAGCTTTACATTCTTGGATTACTGCATCAAGGATCATCATTCAAAACAAGTCCACAAAAAAGTCTTTTAAACAACAATACCAGCATGTGATGTGGAAATGTGAACACCAGAGTGATAATCACTTTGTCACTTATTAGTAATGCTCTGTGGAGTAGCACAGTTGTATCTATAATAAGCCAAATTTGCTTCTTGGGGACACTGGTGCAACTAGATCCATATTTCAAGAATTCCCTATAGATATGATAGATCTTTTAAAAAGTAAATATTTATATATTTTGGGTATAAGAGTTTACTAAATTAGAAGAGGAACATTCCTCTCATGGGTTAAATATTAATATTTAACAAAGACCAAGAATAAATTGCAGAAGCCCAGTGGAAGAAATCAACATATGGGAGGTTCCTAAGGATCTATACTATTCATAATTTATTTGGAAAATGGTGTAAATCTGGAATGAACAAAGTTGCAGGTGATACTATGTTATTTAAAGTAGTTAAACCTAAATCTGACTGGGAAAGTTATAGAAAAGGTTTTGCAGTCCTGAGTGACTGGACAGCAAAAGTGCAGATGAGTCACCTCTGTTTCTGACAAGATGAGAACCAGCAGGCATGGAATAAAATTATCAAGTAATGAACAGAAAATAAGCTGAAATACTTTTTCACAAAAGATGTAAGTAAATATGGAATCCCATGGTACAGTAAAACGTGGAGAACAAAAATACAAAAGGTATCAAAACGGGGTTTACTAAATTCATCTACCGATTGGTAGATATTAGACGTGTTGGTCCAACACAGTCCCAAAGTGTGTATGCTGGTAGGAAGGAGTAAGATTTTTGTGAAATACTAGATTATGAAATAGGCTGAACCAGCCTCAGATGGAGACTCAAGGCATCTATCTCCACGTTACTAGAGGTGAGAGTACCACCAGGCACCATTATCAGCCTAGGGTATAAAAAGGTAAAAAACAACCATGTTATCTACTACACCTCAAAAGTCCCTTATTCCTCTTATACCTTGCAGACCAAGTGAAGGTGGACACAGTAGAATGTAACACTGCTGCAGCAACACATTCTCCTTAACATCTCTAGGTTAGAGATTAAGCTGCACAGGAGCTAAAGCTGATTAACTCACATCAGGCTCCTAAACCCTAGGAGCCTAAAAATAACACTCTGTGTGTTTGCTTTTTACAGTCACATAAAATATGCTTTGGCTTTCATGTATTCACTAGCACTTGCGTACAATTTTATGCTAAAAGGTTTCCTGCTTTCTGAACCAGTCTGTCTGGTTTGAATCACAGGGGCCCTTTACTTTCTCTCAATTTATGTTTTTGGGCCTCCATTACCATTTTCTTTCTCAGGTGTATTGCAGAAGGGTAGGTTGCAGCATACTGTTTGTTGTGGAGGGTGTTGTATGGAGCAATCTCTGAAGCAGACATGTCCCTCCCATGAGCTCAGGTGCCAAGTGCTGCTTCTTTCCTGGCTTTGGACTATAAGCTGGAGCCTCTGCCTATCACATAGCTGCTCATATGCCATGCTGTCCTCCAAGCCATCACACCAGCAGCTTGTAAAGCAAGAGCATTGCACAAGCTTGGGCTGTGACACACTAAGAAAGCTATAATTTTCATATTGTATCTCCTTACCAATTGTAAATCAGTCATTTTAAGGATGTTTTCCATTCTTGCTTCCCTTCAGGCATCTCTTATTTCTCTCTGGAAAAAGAAGATGTAGTTTATAGCTAACTGCAGGACTGAAATGACATATATAATAGCAACAGCAGGCAACAAATGTGTCCCTAAAGTGGCAATATGGTGCCTTTTGTTTTAAGACTTTGGAGTGATAGGCAATTTGTCATTTAGAGCTGCTATTTGAATAGTTATAGGGAATTTAGAAGACAATGTTACGCATGTTCAGTAATGAGGACTGCATAGTCTGACCTAGGCCCTTTGAAAATTGAAAGACAATCAGGACAAAATATTATTATACATAGGGTTATTAGCATAAAGGTTAATAATGCAGGGGTTTTAAATTTTCTTGCAGTCTTCATTTACTTTCAGTTAAAAAAGACAAAACAAGCCCATTCTGACCACCAAATACTTTTACATAAAACTGAACTCTTTCACATTTTGTAGGAATAAACATAGCCTACATGGAACACTTTTGCTATTAGAAAAAGAAATGTTTTTAATGTCTAAATATAATGGTTTACTTATATAATAAAATCAAACTCCCCCATGTAGATATTTAAAGAATAGATATTGCCACTCTATCCACATGAGTAATTCAGCTCTCTAAAGGGATGCTGAGGACAGAACAAGTACCTGACCATATCGCTATGCCCAGATACAATATAACCCCCCTGCCACACAGAGGGCAAACCCCATTCCAGGCTCAGGAATGCAGCAAGGCAGGAGATACAAAAGCCACAATGTGGTTAGAGCTCCACAGTTCTCTTTACCTCTTGACTGAACTCTGAGAGCACCTCAGAGGGGCAGGTGCAGGGAAAAGGAAAGGGATAGGGATGAGTCAGCTGAGCACCTGCAGCACTCACTGACTTCAGCTGTAGTTGTATGAGCTCACATTTCTAAAATCACTGTGCCAGGAAAACTGATGCCACAGTGCAGATCTCAGTGGCAGCTGATCTGAAGATGGGATCACTGTCTGAATACCTTCTTGTTAAGAATTTAAGGGTGAGGAACACAAGACACCCAGCACAGTTCCCCAGGGACAGGGTAGGAGGCACTCTGAGCATCATTGATAGCTGCGAATCACCCATCTACGTCTTTGTGGCTCTAGCTCATTACTCACCTGACCGGCCCTCTACTTCATACTTCAGTTCTCTCAATTACTTCAATTCTACTTTTCCCTGTCTCACTTACTTTTCTCTTTTATTTTTTTAACTTCTATAATGTCTGCTTACACCTCCCTTTGCTTATTGAATGGAAAACCAGAGGTGAACATGTATTATTTGCTATTTTAGAACACGCACTAAAACTTCAGCAGTATCATGGGTGACATTATATCAAAATTATTAGTTAGCTGATTTGTTTCTATTTGTAAATGTGTTCTTAGGGGACAATCCTCATTAACTAAAACACAAAAATTAAAATTAAAGCCCTATAAAAGAAATATGAAAACCTCATACAAATTAACCCCCAAATTCAATATTTTTCAATATAAGATAATTTAAACATTTGTCATTATTCCAGATTCTACGTGTTTTCCCAAAATAAAATACACTAAGAGGGGGTTGAAGTTAAGAATATATCTCTGCATTTTAGGTTAAGATGGTATAGGTACATTACATGTTATCATTGTACTGAGTGCTCTAAATGAGAAAAATCAAGGTTAGGGATTATAACTGTATATTTTAAGGGTGAAAATGCCTGAGTAGGAAATTGAAACAGACTTATTTCTGTCCTCCTTTGATGGCATAAAGCCATTCAATGTCTGCCGTCAAAATACTTCTGTTCATGGTCCTAAATTAGACTAAACTGACTTTTATAAGCAGATTACACTCTACTTCTTTATGGTTATTATGGTAGTATTAATGCTGGGTTTATCTCCTGAATTTGCCTATTATCACATGCTAGTGGGGACAGCTGAAAAACCATCATGGGTCGGTTTCTCTTTCACTGATCTCTATGGGGTGGGGGTCTTGCTGTCGCAGAGCCGCGGGCAACAAGGCAGCAGGGGACCAAGTCTCTCTAGCAAAGGGCAAAGAGGGGGAACTCCTCTTGTAGTTGCCATGGCAATCAGGCAGCCAGAGCCATCGCCATGCCCTGTAATGGGCAGCATCTCACCATCCTCCTGAACCCACTGCCTTCCACTTGCCTCTTATTCAGTGATGCACCTCTTGTTTAAGGTGTAACTGCCAGAAATCAGTCTCCCCTGCATTTTAAATTTCTCACACAAATAATTTTATGGCCTTCTGTATTTTCAGGCTTTGTCACATGTAGAATCCCCCACCGGGATCCACATAGACATACATCACTGCCTAAATTCTCACTCCTGTCTCCAGCCTACATGACCAGCAGATATATACCCTGCACCCCAACAAAATTCAAAATAGCCGTAAGAAAGTTATAACTACTGTGTCTCTTATACCTTTATTCAGATTAAACAAACGGTGTATATATGTATATATGCATATATATGCAATATATTCAGTATTTACTTCTGGAATGAGGTTCAAGCATTTCTACTACCTGCACGCAATACAAGTAGCGTTGCTAGTGGTTTTACGAGTCTTGGATACGATTTTAGGCTATCTTTATTACTTAAAAGTACTTCACTAGATTCCATGACTATCTCTTCTACACAAAGAAGGGATATCTCTCACAGAAACAGCAAGATGATAGCAGTATTCTGACATGAATGAATTGATAAAGTGCTAATTCTTTGTTGTTATTTCACTCAAGAGTGCAAACTGTTTTTATTGACCTTTGTGAGACAAATGGCTGCAAAATATGGTAGAATTATTGGAGTTGTTCCAGTTTCTGTATAAATATACTAGTGGGTCACTTGCTTAGTCTGTAGAGTATGCATTGCCTCTTGCATAAGAAATCACAGAAATATTAATGTAAAACTACTACTGTGTCTCTTAGTGCATTATCATCACATTCTGAAGCTTTCAATAGATGATCTTTCTCATGTTCTTAGACAACCTTGACCTTCACTTTTTAGTGAGGTGAATAATATTATATCACATATAAAGAGAACAGTGTAATCATCTTTTCTATTTGCAGTACTAAGTCAACAGTATTTGATACAATCAGCATGTGTCTTGATACTGAAGGCACATGGTGACAAGTCTAACTGAATGTAGTTATTTGGCTGTCATGAAATGCACCTTATGGTGATAAACTTCTCCCATAAAATTGGAAGACTATCACATAAACATGTTTCATGAAGAAATACACTACCAGAATTCACTGCTAGTTTATAGTTGGAAAACTGCACTCTATTTATTGTGCTGCTATTTTTACAGTAAGTCAGGTTCCAAAACTCATTATGTTTTACAATGAAGTAATTACTGGGTGTTGATTCTTTTACTTCAACCAACAGGTCTATCTAATTAGTGTACAATAAATTGAAACACCATGATTGAGGATGTATGAAAGGATACTAATACTGGATGTGGCTTCAGTGTGCTTAAAAGCAGGGGGAATCATGCAGCTGGTCTCCCAGGACAAGCCTGGGGTAGGTACCTTACAGGGCAATCCTCATGGGGAAACTTTCCCTGCCTTTGCACCCTGTTCTCTGTAAACGTGTCCTAATGCAGATACTACAATAAGGGTATAAGGCAATTCACACTTGTGTGTATTAAATCTTAAGCTTGATAGAAAACTAGCTTTTTCTTTTCATTTCTTATCAGACATTTTATCTTTTCGATAAATTTCTTTTCCCTGTAATCTTAAAGGATATAGTGTTCATAACACTTACGGAAGGTTAGGCTATAAAACTACTCAAAACAATAGCTTCTATAAACTCAGAGACATTCTCTTATCTGCAGCATAACTCAGCCTCACTGCAGTGCAACGTTTCTAGCTTTGTATTTTATTGGTTATGGGAGATGTTCTGTGGCACAAGGAGTAGGAAGGTTTCTCAGTCCTACTGAAAGTCAAAGAGAATTGGAGGCTTACCCTCCATTTGTGCTACTGAAGATCTCCCTTGTGTGTCTGACCGGCTGCCTGTGAATGAGATTTGAAATATGGAGTCATTCTTCTACCAGATTAACCATCCTGCTGTTAGCAGCAACAGGATGTGGGTATGACTGTGCTTGTAAAACATTCCCCCAAAGAAATGGGACTTTAAGAGAGGCTGTGTTCATTTGATGTTCTTAGGCTGTCCAGGTAAACAGCGGAACAAGAATGGTCTCCCAGGAATATTTTCAAAGTGAGGGATTGTGTGGTGCATATTTGCCTTGCTCTACCTTGGAATCTGTAAATTTTACAGCATGAAGGTGTACCGTGGAATAGCAGAAGGAGAAAAATGTTGATGCAAACTATGATATAACTACTCAAGCAGCAAAGCAGCCCCCTTTAGACAACTGCAACTCACCAAAATGTAAAGTAAATCTCAGCTGCAATTCACATATCTGCCAGTAGAAGAGGAAATAATCAAATAATCCCTTTTTTTTTTTTCTTCAGATCAGCAAAGTTATCTTTCTGTCAGAGTTATTTAATCTTTTCAAACCTCTTGCAGCCATTCATGACATTAGATAGCTGTATGATGATTAGGATAAAACTAATGCCTCATTTTTATGTAAGACTTATCAGGCCAATATTAACCAGTACTAGGACAGCTCAACAGACAAAGAAAAAATAACCACCAAGTCTCAAAGAAACAGGAAATGTTTTTACAGGCCCATTATAGCTACACGTTTGCTAACCTTGCCAGAGCTACTGAAGCAGAGCTCAGCAGGAGTGATTAGTGTAACTAAAATAGGGTTTCTCCAGCCTAAGCTTTGACTTGATCTTATTACTCATTTTTAAAAAGCAGATTCTATTAGATGAAATAAAGTTCTCTTTCTGATCTCAGAGAGACCAAAAAGGGGTTTTGTGGTCAAGTTAGGAAAAATTGAATCTTCCTGTGGGCAATAAATTGGAAAATCTAATTAATTCTGATGAAGAACTCATAACAGGTCATCCCAAGATTTATAGGAAAATTATTCTTCTTCAGCCTTTCCTTGCCTTTATTGATTCATACCCTGATATTCACAGATAATAGAATAGTTTGTTTTGGAAGGGAACTTTTTAAGGTCATCTATTCCAACTCCCCTATAATGAGCAGGGGCATCTTCAATTAGACCAGGTCTCTCAGAGCGCCGTTCAACCTGACCTTGAATGTTTCCAGGGATGGGCATCTACCACCTTGCTGGGTAATCTGCTCCACTATTTCACTGTTTCCCAGGGGATCCTAATGACTAACACCTTGAAGAGCTAGAATTTGCTTTCCTAAAATTCAGGGTCCCGAACTTACTCTTTGCCTGACCCATATCCCAAAACTGTCGACTCTACCAGTGCATGACTAAGATCATTTTCCATGTTGTGAGAAGAATACTGAGATAATACATCCATGCTGAAACGCTGTTTTGAGTTTTGTTTGCCCAAATTTGAAAAACTTGTACCAATCTCTATTTAAAATAATAGAAAAATCAAATGTGCTGTTGTTCACAAAGTGGGCAAAACCTTCAGTTTCATTCATGTCCTATAATGTACAACAAAAAAATTAGATGGGACTAGTTTATGAGAAATTGCAGTACAAGACAGCCTGACTATAGATAAGAGTTTTAGAAATATGAGATTGCCCTCATAGAACTGGGCATATTCACATGAAGAAAGTCATTAGAAAATGACAGATAAACATCAGGGCAGAGATCACTGGGGAATTATGATTAATGGTCAGAGGAACAAGAAA